ATACATGTGTTTCACAGAAACGAATTTAAAAATGCAAAGCCAAGAAAAAGTCTAGAGTTAGGGGAGATAGCAAAAGGTATGCATGGAAAAACCGTGGGAAATAATGCTGAATGTGGTTAAAGTATAAAATGAGATGTTTATACTTTGTACAATAGGCAATAAGGAACCATTACAGATTCTTCCATTTTAAAGTGACATAATGAAAGACTGTTTTAGGAAATCAGTTTGTTAACCATGGTGCAGAATGAATTGAAAGGGGAAAAGACAGGAAGGCAAGAAGTATTTCATGAAACCATACATTTTTCCTCCCCATAGAATAAAAAAAATTCTCTGATGAATTTGGACAAGATTCACACAGTCATAGGCATTTGTCCGATAGGAGTGAAACCAAGGTAAAGAAAACTATGAGTATATGATGTGTTCATCACTTACCCCACACATAACTTTATTTCCAGCACTTTCACTTTCCCTTTCTTTCAGTTCCAAGTCTTCTGCTAATTCACTGCTCTCAAACTCCTGTCTCTCACTTGCCTGTCTTCCAACCTGCTCTCCTTTATTCAGCAGCCCGAGGTCTTCTCCTATTAATGAAGAACAGCTTTTCTCTATTTCCTTTCCTTTAAGCCCCTATACCTACTAAAATTTCTAAATGACAAGAAACAGTTTTGCAAGAATTTCTGTGCTAAAGGAGAGGTGAAATGTAAAAGCTACATGTCCCAGTTAGAGTCCGCTTCTCTTCCCAGACATATAAGGAGTTATCAACAGCTTTTTCAAGATAATGCTTCTATTTCAGCATCAGAAAAAGAAAAAATTGGAAGTTAAGAAGGGAAAATAAAATGAAAACAAGACAGAAGCAATGTCTCTGCAATTCAGCCTTGGAAAAGATGAACAAGTCAAAAACAAGGAACTTGGAGCTGAAGTTGAATTTATCTGTTTGTGTGTACAGGGGACAGAACCAGGTCAGAATGTCCTCGTGGAATTTTATCTGTCCTGGAATAGAATTACCCTGAGTAAAACTAAAAGCATAATGCAAAGTTTGGATAGCAATGGTTGAAGAAGCCCCTCAGGTTTGACCCTTAATTAAAGGAAGCTAATTACATAAATAAAATATTATCTGAAGTGATCCCTGTCAAAAGCATTCAATTAATGTGTATTTCTGGCTGCAACTACATCAGAAAGTGGAAGTTAAAAAGATTTAGGGCCAGGTGTCGTGGCTTATGCCTATAATCCCAACATTTTAGGAGGCCAAGTGGGGGGTGGATTGCCTGAGTTTAGCAGTTCAAGACCAGCCTGGGCAACATGGCAAAACCCATCTTTACAACAAATACAAAAATCAGCCAGGCATGGTGGAGCATCCCTGTAGTCCCAGATACTTGAGAGGCTGAAGTGAGAGAGTCACTTGAGCCCTAGAGGTCGAACCTGCAGTGAGTCATGATCATGCTACTGCACTCCAGACTGGCAACAGAGCAAGAACTTGTCAAAAAAAAAAAAAAAAAGAGAGAGAGAGAGAAGGAAGGAAGGAAGGAAGGAAGGAAGGAAGGAAGGAAGGAAGGAAGGAAGGAGGAGGGAGGGAGGGAGGGAGGGAAGGAGGGAGGGAAAGGAAGGAAGAAAGAAAAGAAAAGAAAAAAGAGGAAGAAGATTTAGAGCAAGGCAGAACTTCAACATCACAGACAGGGGAGGAGTAACTTGAAAGTGTGGGGGATTTCAGCATCTTTCACAGTGCATCAAGCTTCATACCTTTTCTTAATTTAGATTGAATACAAGCATGCAGATTCAGTTAAGTTAGGTGTTATTATGAGATGCAAAGCTTTTTAAATTATACCTAAAATTTTTGGATGAAAAACTCAATGAAAAGGCAATTTATAGCGTTATCATATATAAGGAAAATGAAACTCTTTAGAAAATGCTTGAGAATGCTATATCTTTCATTTAACCATTTGAATCAAAAGAAGACCTATTTATTGGAAGGAAACTATGGTAATATTAACATAGACTATAATCAATTTGGTCCTATTTTTATTCATTCATAGATAATATCTAGCACAGTTCTATATAACAAATCTACCACAACTAACAGGGCATAATATAGCTTATGGGGTTCATACTCTAGTAAAGGAGATGGGGGAAAGGTGTAAACACAAAACCATAAATACACAACAATATAAAGTAAATTGTAAATGGCAAATAGAAAAAAAGAGGGGGGCTAAGATAGAGAATAAATGAGGGGTGAGTTTAAATAAAGTAGTTAGGGGAAACATCTCTAAAAGGATATTAAATCTGTGATCTAAAAATGAGAAATTATCCAAGCAAATAGTAGAAAGAAGCTCTCTCCTGCCAAGAAAACAGCAGGGGACTGGTAGAGATGTTTTCAAAGACCTAAGAAAAGACAAATGTGACTGAAACATGGTGTGTAAAGAGGAGAGGGGCAAAGGATGAGAGAAAGTGTGGGGCTCAGGCCATGAGAGCCTTCTAAGCTGCCCTGTTAAGAGACAGTGGAGAAAATGAGGACAGAAGTCGGTGGACTTGGCAACTTCGATGTAATGGGTAATGTGGATTACAGCAGATTCGGTGAAATAATAATGTCAGGAATCTCACTGGCGTTAGTAGGAGAGAAAGGCAGTAACGGAGGAGAGATTCACATGTTTGTCTCTCTCAAAGCTGTGAAGTGGGAGCTGAGGATGGAGAGATCGCTGGTAGGAATATAGGGACCCAGGAAGTCTGGGTTTTGTTTTTTCCAAAGACAAAAGATCACAGCATGTGTGCGTTTGTTCTGATAGGATTGCAGTGGTCCAGGGGAGAGGCAAAGGATAATGGAGAGCAGGAATGGGGTCCAGAGCACAAGGGAAAGATTAGATATAAGGGAAAGCACAAAGATAGAAAAAGAGATTGCATGAACACAGGTCAAGGTGTGGATTTACTGGTGGAAGGTTTGGAAACATTGTCCTCTACCATCCTCATCTCCTCCTAACCTCGGAATCCCTAAGCCACTCCTTTAACTCATCTAATCTTTACCTATTGAAACTCTTTCTAGATTTAAATCATCAACACATCTTATCTGCTTGAAAATATTCATGAATTCCACATGAAAGTTATTTTCCTAAATCCACAGTGTTTACAAAGATTGTACTGCCAATTCAATACAGAGGACTTTTAACAGCATAGTCCTATAATTTTACTTATGGAATATAATGTGATGAGCAAAATGTTTTAAGATGAAAGATAAATTTTTTGGCCACTTAAAGGTGGCCAAAAAAAGTGGCAAGATCCAAAATCATTGCATAAGTTTTCTGTACATTCTTCCTAGTATCATTTAATGATATTATTAGGGTCTCATTATATGCTTTTTCACCCATGCTACTTCCACTTTTTATATAAGTGTAGCATTCAAATTATTTCTTGAATAATATCCCCAGTGCTTCGCAGAATGTGTCTCTGCACTAGAAATGTGTTTCTATATTCATATATCCCTTCATTTATTTTCCATTACTCAATTAAGAAAGAAATAATAGGAGACGTAACATAAAGCACATTATTGTGCCTTGTCCAACTGGCTATAGATAGATAGATCACCTTCAAATATAGTAGCAAATGCTGTCTTACTATAAAAGAGCTTTTACCTTTTCAAATCCAAATGCCCTGAGTTATTTTAAGCTCTGCTACCATCAGTCAGCTTCCTGGTGTGGAAGAACATATAACTTAGATAAAGCTAGAGCAGCTGGAGCAATCACCACAAATCACCAGTTATAAGACTTGCTTGCAGCAGTAATACAGGCTGAAAAGTCCCCCTCCCCTCAAAAAAAAAATAACCAATGAAGAAGTTAATGTGGTGTTAGAGCTAGTAGTTGACCGTTGCTCTTGCCATCTGTCATCCCATTGGACTACATAAGTAGAAGTCAACAAGAAATTCGTCTCTTATGTTGACACCACACAATGTCATTTTCTATTTATGCACATTGTTAAATTTCATTTGATATCAAAATTAATCCAGAAGTTTCTAAGAGAAGAAAGTAGTAAGAAATTTTCAATGTTTCAAATATCTCTAAACGAAAGAAAACTAATCTTTAAGAACATTGCTAACCTTCTATAGAATAAAAGCGTTTTTCCCACAACATGAGTTTCAATTGAGAAATTTTATGTATTCAATTGCTCCTGTCTTCATTGAGAAATATCTGTCCTCAAAAGTTATAATCTGGTTTACAACACAGGTAGCAGGCTAATTTAAATAAATCAAAACATTTTCTAAATACTAATTAAATTCACAATAAGATTCCATTACATATGTACCAGGATGGCCAAAGTTAAAAACAAGATACCAAATGGTGGTGAGAATGTAGAGTAACATGAACTCTCACATATTGTTGATGGTAGTATAAAAATTGATACAATACACTTGGAAAACTACAGGAAAACTACAAAAGCCAGTGATGTGCTGTGACAGTAAATGTTTAACAACTGAGTCTGTGGTGGGAGAGGGATAGTAATTTGTATCATTTGCCAATTTCTATAGTGTAAACACGCCTCTGATGGCCAGTCTGACGCTACCAATGCGATGTCACTGAATGTGAATTTTGGAAGACATGTGCAAAATTAGCTCTTATGAGCTGGTACAAGCCAGTCCATTTTACCTCTGACTAGGTTGAAAACTCCGATTTCCCCAGACCCTACAAATTTCCTCCTAATTATAATCCCAATAGAGATGCATACACGTGTTCACGGAAAGCCACGTATAAGAATATTCACAGCAACACTATAAAAGCCAAAAACTGGCAACAACCCACATACCCATCAATCAGGGAAAAAATTAATTGTGGTGTATACATACAATGGGACAATATTCAACAATGAAAATTAACAAACTACTACTTATCCAAAAACACAGATGAATCTCTCAAATCTAACATTGATAAAAAGAGCCAGACATCAAAGAATAATGATTCCATTTAAATAAAGTTTAAAAGCAGACAAAACTAATCCCTGATGATAGAAAACAAAATAATAGTTACCTTTGTTGAGTGAAAGCACCTATGAAGGGGCACAGGAAGGCTTCTTAATCTGGTGATAGCAGTTCAGGTGTGTTCATTTTGTAAAAATTCTTTGAGCTATAAACTTACAACAGTGCACCTCTTTTGCATGCCTGTTACACAACAATAAAACAAGTTTACTAAAAAATAAAACTTTTCCAACAAAACAATTACGAGGATTCACTTTCCTCTGTGGTTATTCTCTGTTACACTAACTCTCATCACCTGTTAAAAAGAGTACAGACTCTATCGGTTCTGCTGCTTGCATGCTGTGTGACTGCACAAATTACTTAACCTCTCTAAGTTTCAGTTATCTCTTACACAGAAATCATAAATATTTACTTAATTGGTATATTACACAGATTAAAAATAATATATATAAAATGTCAATATGGTATCTTTTCTACAGTCCACAATCCCTAGAACAGCCAGAATAATCTTTAAAAAAAAAAAAACAGAATAAACATCCAATTATACTAGTCCCTTGCTTAAAACTCTCCAATTACTTGAGAAAAAATAAAATTCTTATCATGGTCTACAAGGACCTCTGTGGCCTGGCCCTTGCCCTGTCTCTGACTTTACCTCCTACTATGCTCATTCTCACTCTCTGCATTCCAGCCACACTCCCTGTTCTTTGAACTCACCTAGCTGGCAGTTGCCCCAGAGCCTTTGCTTGTGCTACTATCTCTGTTTGGAATGTTGAAGCCCCACATCCATGCAAGGCCAGTTCCATTCCCAGATAAGTCTTATATCAAAAATCATCTTCTCAGAAAAAGGCCATCTCTGACATTTCAATAAAAAGTAGTCTCCCCAGTTACTCTCTATCCCATTTCCTTGTTTTATTTTTCAATACAGCATTTATTGCTAGCTGGAATTACTTCAATTTACTGTCTTTCTTCCATCATTGTAACCACACACCTCACAGTAAGCCAAATAAGGGAGGGATAGTGTCTGATATACTCACTACTGTATCTTCCAGCACTAGAAGAATACCTGCCACACAGTACTCACTAGATGGTTGTTGATTAAAAAAATAATCAATAAACAATATTTTTTTCAGAAACAGTCATTATTTCCTCCTTCAAATATCCTCATACATCATAAGAGTTTATAAATTTGTAAGTATTTTAGGATGGAGTTTATGAATTTGTGAGTATTTTAGGATGAAATACTGTGACTACATTTGCTCCTTGAACCATTGTTTTTATGTAACAGTTCTAGTTTCTTTTCTATTATAGATCTTAAGGATAAGGTCAAGTTCAGGAGCCAACCAAAAGAAAAATGTAGTGTACTACCTCACCCTGGTAAAATGCATTCATTTGACAGAGTAAACAGTTTGAAATTGTTCATTACTAAGACATTGACTCCCATATGTGATAAGCTGTGTTAATCTGGGACATGATTTTTATAACTGCATTATGTCTTTTAGAGAACTGTACTTAGGGTCCTTTTTCCCTCTGGAATTTTGATGAAGAAATCCTACAATCCATGTCTTCAGTATGGCTCTTTAAAAAGCAGTTCTTCTTGCTATTTCTGGGAAAATAAACCTTTAAAATCCTCAATCACTTTCCCAGGTGTAAAATGAGCAATTCTTTCAGGACATCATCAAAAATATTGTTCATCTGCATAGTCTCATGTCTACTGCAACCAGTGTTCTCTTATTGTGTAGTCTGAAGCTGAAAAGATAATAACTCATTAAAAGTAAAACAAATCACCTACATGTAAACAAAACCATCAGAGGAAGTTTTTAAAATGCTTCTCTAAGCTGAATATTTAGATCTGTTCTATTTAAAATCACATGATGGAAATGATTTTAAAACACTTTGAGTTTAACAATCCCCAGAAGTATAAGAATGATATATAATCATTCTAATATAATCATTCTATACCACATTATAAAGGCTAATATATAAAATTGTATGTCATCTAATTAACTTGGGACCCATTAGAAAAATTAGTTTAAAGCAATAACAACAAAAATTACACCTCAAACTACAATTTTTTTAAAACTATCTTACAAAATATTTGGCGTTTTAACTTAATCTAACAAAGGAAAAGTTGGCTTCCTTATAGCAAATGTAGATGAAGATGGGCTGGAAGTAAGAGTTGAAATGGGTGCAGAAGAGAAAAATGGAAACATACAAGAAACAATTTAGAAACCTTATAGACTCAGCCTGGTAGGGGTTTGTCTGTTTGAGAGAGAATTAGTTGCACAGGAAGAAGGCTGTTGATGCCTTTGATCAACGAAAAACCCTGGAGAGGAAAGACTTACACAGTTCAGGGTTAAAAAGAGATTGAAAACAAAATGCTTAGAGGAGATGAGATGGCAAAGAAAGCCAGAAACTTTTAAAGTAGTGGGAGCCAGCACACACAGGAACTATCATCAATCTCTAACGTCTCACACTTCATTCAGAGCTTTCTTCAAACTGCTGAAACCATGTTATTTCATAGCATTTGGGCTGACTTTAATCGTGAAATATTTTTAAAACTGTCTCTCAAAGAATGAAACTTTTCTTTTAAATCATAATTAAATAAATGTTGTTAAAAGGAAACTCTTATAACAAGTTCAGAAATTCCATAATTTCTTTTCCTCAAGAAGTGATCTTAATAGTCCAGATGGTAATGCTGACCCTTATTAGCACAAATTAGATTGCATATATCACCTAAATTGTGCCCCATAGTTTTATCCAAGAAAAGCAATGAATATTAGCAGATTCACACAGAAGTTTCTTCTCTGATAAAAGTAAGAAAACCCATCAGAAAAGATTAATTTTATCATCTTACACTGAGATATGAATCAGTCATGTAATTGCTACATAAATATAAAAATAAAATTTTTGTATTAGGTATTTGTTAGAAAAAAACAAATTAAACCTCTTACACAATTGGGGGTGAGAAACTCTAAGGAGAGAACATCATAGAAGACATCTATACAATTAGTAACATGAGATTCCGACAAAGTCAAACTGGATGCGATGCAAAGCAATTATAACTAAAGTTAATAGGGTAATTTTCATGAATGCTTGAAGTTGTGACTAACTACAAGTGAATGACTGAAAAATTCCACATTAGATATCCCTTATTTTTAACAGTGGCCCCATGGTTAATCTAATAATAGGTGTAAATTTTAATAATTTTTCTATAACATGGAATGTACTCAGAAAATGACAAAAATTAAACTCTAGATTTAAATTCCAAAATCTGTAGTTTGACAATTAAAATACTACATAGAGTACTAGTTAGGAGTACTAGTTAATCTGTATAAGGTACTAGTTAAGGGTGTGGATTCTGTAGGTGGACCATGCAGATTACCATTCCACCTCTCCTGCTGGCATTTGTCTTGTCCAAGAGACTTGACCGCTGTGAGCCTCAGTGTCTTCACTATAACACAGAATAATACTAGTAGTAGTAGGTGGCAGTAATTTTACATGGAGGTGCCACAATATCTTTTAGCCATCCACTGGTTTTCGGAATTTACAATACAGAGCCAGGTTCTCCACTTTGGAGGACCAGAAAGGGACCTTTATCAATATACTCAAAGTCCACCAGTTTCTCAGTAATAAGTTTATAATAACTAAAACCACAAAAAATTGAAGGTATCTAAGAATGCCAATCCTTAAAAACAATCCATGAAGTACCCATTATTATCCCCATTTTTCAGATGAGGAAACTGAGGTTTAAAAGTTTAACTCTCCCAATATATCAAAACAACTGAATGGCAGAGGTGCTCTTCAAACCCTAGACTGTAATACTCCAATACCACTCTGCAATAATGGTTCTCATGAATGTTTTTATTCTACAACAAAGATGTATAAGGATAGCCACATTTGTATAATCTATCACAGTGGTTCACAAAGTATGGCCTGGGAACCCCTGTGGGTCCTCAAGACCTTTTCAGGGAGTCCATGAGGTGACAACTATTTTCATAATCATACTAAGATACTATTTGACTGTTTTATTTTCATTCTTTCATCAGCATACAGTGAAGTTTTTTAGAGGCTACGTGATCAGTGATATTGCAACAAATTGAACGCAGAAACAGATATCAGAATCTAGCTGTCTTCAGTTAATCGGGACATTAAAGGAACTTGCAAAAATGTGAAACAATGCCACTCTTCTAAAGTGTTTTTTTCTTTTTCTTTTTTTTTTTTTGTTTTGGAAAATAAGATTTTTATTAAAATGTTATTTATGTTAACATGTAATGGGGTTTTTTTAAATTATCAATACATATTTTTAGATATTCTCAGTTTTTAGTTGAATCTGCTAAACATACTTAGGTGTAATACCCATAAACAAAAGCTCTTTAGGGGCCTCAATAATTTGTAAGAGTCTAAAGGTGTCCTAAGAACAAAAGGCTTGAAAACTGTGAAGAACTTTCACAGTACTTATGTCATTGCCAATACAAGATTATAGGTAAGGAAAAAAAGATTATACAAGGAGTGTTTTTCAATAAGCAGCCAATTTAGTTTGACAGTTATCTGGTCACCCTGAAATCAAATGTAATTTCTACCACTGCATCTACCCAAATTGAAGGCATTTTTCCATGATGAAAGGCCTTCCAAGAAATTATTGCCAGATGATATTATGTGAATTTTTTTATGGTTTGGGAAGAAAATGGGATATGAATTAACAAGTGAGAAGTCAAATGATTCCAGCAAAATGATATTTATTGTGTGTTTTTAAAAAGGAGTCCATATCTTAAAAGATTGCTAAAGAATCTCTTCCACATAATACAGGGAAAGAGGGTGAAAAACTTAGCTTACTACAAACTATCATAAGCCTTTAACCTTAAAAAAAGACATGAAGTCTACATATATGTGTGTGCTATAAAAATGTAACTATAACAAAAAATACACATAATTTACATTATATTATATATACCGTTTAGATAAACCTGTTACTTCTGTGCAGGCTCCCCCGGACTCCCCCTCACCATTTCTTTCTAAGTCCTGACCCCAAATCATGAAGTGCCTTCCTTGGTTGCTCTGTGACCTGGCCAGCTGCAGGTTTTTTCCAACAGGCTTGAACCGAAACCAGGGCCTTGCACATTTCCAGGCACTGAAAAAAGTTATCTAGGTTGTTGCCCAAAACACTAAAAGAAACTGGCCCTGGC